GGCGGGTGAGGCTGCTGCCTGCAGTGCAAGTATCCCATATTTGCGCTGGTTCAAGTCCTGGCTGCCCCATTTCTGATCTGGCTCTCTGGTGTGGCCTGAGGTGGCAGTGGAGGATGGCCCAAGTCCTTGGGCCCCTGCACCCGCGTAGGAGACCAGGAAGGGGCTCCTGGCTCCTGGCTTCAGGTCTGTGTAGCTCCGGCCGTTCCGGCCATCTGGGGAGTGTACCAGCGGATGGAAGACATCTCTCTCTTTCTCTCTCTCTCTCCCTCCCTCCCTCCTTCCCTCTCCTTCTCTCTCTGTGTCACTCCGAGTTTCAAATAAATAATAAATCTTAAAAAAAAAAAAAAAGAAAAAGAAGAACATGAAAATACAAAACACAGACTTGAGAAAAATATTTGTAAAGATATACAAGTGGGGGCGGCACTGTGGTGTAGAGGGCTAAACCTTCACCTGCGCTGGCATCCCATATGGGCACAGGTTCAAGTCTTGGCTGCTCCTCTTCCCATCTAGCTGTGCTGTGGCCTGGGAAAGCATTTGAAGATGGCTCAAATGCTTGGGCCCTTGCACCTGCATGGGAGACCCAGAGGAAGCTGCTGACTCCTGGCTTCTGATTGGCTCAGCTGCAGCCGTTGAGACCATCTGGGGAGTGAACCAGCAGGCGGAAGACCTTTCTCTTTGTCTCTCCCTCTCTCTCTGCAACTCTGCCTCTCAAGTAAATAATAAAATCTTTAAAAAAATAAAAAGAAAAAAATATACAAGTGGACTTCAAAAAGTTCATGGAAACCTGAACTAAAATGTAGGTTTTTTTGTTGCAAAAATTTTAAAATCTATGCCTAGTTTTTTCTTTTTTTAGTGATAAGTATGGCTTCTGGTCTCTCTTTTTTTTAAGATTTGCTTTTGTATTTGAAAGGCAGTTACAGAGAGGCAGATATAGATAGAGAGAGGTCTTCCATCTGCTGGTTCATTTCCCAAATGGCTGCAATGTCACAGCACTGGTACCTTTTTTTTTTTTTTTTTTTCCAAATTCTGTGCATTTTGCATAAACTTTTCGAAAGCCCCTTGTATAACTACTAAGGAACTTTTTTTCTAGAATAAATTTTTTAAAAAAGTCTTTATTTAGTAATAGAACATATTTGTACAAATGGATTAGTCTATTTTTCATTATTTTAACTAAAATATTCGAGAAGCTTCACTGGGGAAGAAAAGCTTCCTTTCAACTCACAGGATCCGGCAGCCCCACAGTCCAGCATCTCAAGGGGGACAGGGGCTGCACGTGGCAGGTGCGGAGGCGTGGAGGCATGACCACGTGGGGAGCCGGGAAGGAGGAAGGGGACAGCGAGGCAGAGCTTGCCCTCAAATACTGAGAGGAACCCAGGAGTGCCGAGCGGGACACTGGCTTTGAGGAAGCGTCCCGAGTTTTTAAGGCATTGCTATCTGTTTGTTGGGATATCCTATTGGGGGTGCCCATTGGACAGGGGATTTTGCATACGTTTGCTGATTGACTTGGGTCTCCTGGAGACAGTCCATCTACTTAGGGACTCAGCTCCCTCCTCTGCTATCTCTGGGTGAAAGATTGCAACAACCCTGGATGTGTGATTTAAAGCCATAAGGTCACACAAGATAGCCTGGATCTCCTGGAACCAGTCTGCCTTCCCCAGGGGCTCAGTCGCTTCCCTGCCAGCTCTGAGTGAGACTGCCCCCACCCTGAAGGTGTGATTTAAAGTCGCAAGGTCACACCTGCAGCACAAGAAGCTATGAGGGGGGGAGATGCCAGTCAGTCTGGAGACAGGCTTTCCAGCCACAGCTGGCAGCCTGCAGCCTGCTTATGAAGGACATTCTACCTACATCTGAGGGGCCCACAGGCCCTCAGCCCCTCTGGACAACCTCACCCAGACCCTTAGCAGGGAGCTGCATCAGGCATTTTGGTGTGTATTTCTGCTAGAGCTCTTACCACACTGTAATATGTTTAATGACTCCTCTGTCTGTGTCTGCACCTGCAGAAGATAACTGGCTTGGTTCCCAGCCTTCTCAGTGCAGAAGAGTGGCTGTCAGGAGGGTTGGATTCCAGTTCCAGCTCTGGACACCTGCAGTGGACAGACCAGTTATGTTCCTCACTGTTCTCCACTGCTGTGGAAGAGCTTCAGCTCCATTCATTCATTCATTCGTGAATCTTTTTAAGTGCATGCTATTGGCCAGTGACTCTCTTTTTTTTTTTTTTTTTTTAGTTTTATAATTGTCATTCAGTCCTTAGTTTCGAGTTCTCTGCCAAAATTATCAGTCTTGACATTTTTCTTCCCCTTAAATATTTTTTGCAAAGTTATTTTTTAATCCAGATTTGACAACTCCATTTTCTGGATCTTCTGTGGACTTGCTTGTATGGTCTCTTATGCCTGTTAGTTTTTACTGTCACGTCATCACAGATGTTTGGCTATTTTTGATTGCATACTAGGCATTTTACATTAAAAAAATCATGAAAATAATTTGAGGCTTCTCCAAAATGGATTTTTCTTTGCTTCTGAGGTGTGGCTAGGAAAATGGGACATCCAGTCAAGATCTTTAACACAATCAGGAAGTGAAAGTGTCCGAAGCTGGGCCTCATTTCCTAAAAGAGCTGATTCAGCGTTTCAGAGCACCATCCCGAAGTCCAAGGTATTTACCAAGGCCTGCCCACCGGTGACTATCTTATGCACTGGCCACATGTTGAAGAAAATGAGCTGTGTTCCCTGCCCTAACAGAACCAGGATTCGTTAACCTGCTATGTACTAGACCCTGTCCTGGGTTTTGAGGAGATGGCTCATAGTATATTAGTCTCAGGAAGTTTATGAGTTAATGGGTAAAAGACAAAAATAAGTAAGCAGAAAAACTGAAGTTATGGGGAAGAAATGTTAGGAAGGAAACTGTATCAGAGAAGACCCCTCTTTTAGGCCGGCTTATCAGCAGAGGCCTCTTGGTGAGTGGGACAGCCTGGCTGAGATCTGAAGGGAGGGAGAGGAAAGGTGCTCTCTCTAGGGCATTGCCTCTCTGTCTCCGCAGTCTAGGTGGAGCCAAACACTGGCTTGACTTCTTTGACTGCAAGCACCTCTGGGTGATAATGGCTTTCTGGACCCATCTCTTTGTTCTCCCCCACCGCCTCTATTGAGGGAATGTCCTCGTACTAGTCTAGGAGGTGTAAGTGACAGCGCAGTAAGTGGATTAATGCTCCTGTCTGTGGTTTGATGAGTGCTTCCTTGACCCTAGTTCCTTAGTGAGTGAGAGATGAGAAGGAAGTGGAGAAGTGTGTGAGCCCTGGATGCCTAAGGTTCAGGGTGGTGTCTGGCCGGCCAGCCCTGCCTCTGCAGTTTCCTTTGGCCCACATCAGAAAATTTCACCTAGACCCCCCTGCTTTTGGCATTTCCATTTCCGTCTTTAGGTATGCCCATTCCAGGCTGGCATTCCTTAGAGCCCTGTGCTCCATCAGAACTGAGTGCTGGAGCCCCTCTTGGTGGGGGGCATACGCTCGGACCCCACAGCTCCTTCTGGTTGGCCTGCTTCTCTCACCTGGTGTTACCTCTCTGGCCCCATGTCAATTTGTTTGATTAAGAATCACCACAGGGCTGGTGCTGTGGCGCAGTGGGTTAAAGCCTGGTCTGCAGTGCCGGCATCCCATATGGGCTCTGGTTCGGGTCCCTGCTGCTCCACTTCTGACCCAGCTCTCTTCTCTGGCCTGGTAAAGCAGCAGAGGATGGCCCAAGTCCTTGGGCCCCTGTACCCATGTGGGAGACCCAGAGGAAGCTCCTGGTTCCTGGCTTTGGATCAGTGTAGCTCCAGCCATTGCGCATTGCGGTCATCTGGGGAGGAACCAACAGATGGAAGACCTCTCTTTCTCTCTCTCTCTCTCTCTCTCTCTGCCTCTGCCTCTCTCTAACTCTGCCTTTCAAATACACACACACAAACACACACATATATATAAAGAGTCACTGTAAGCGGTTTTTGTTTTGTGTTTACATTTTTTTTTCATGTAGATCTCCATTTTCCCTGACACTAGTTATTAAAGAAATCATCCTTTTCCTGATGTGTGTTCTTGGCACTTTTACTGAAGGTACATTGGCTGTACATATGTGATTTCATTTCTGGGTTTTCCAGATTGTTCCATTGGGCTATGTGTCTGTTTTGGTTTGCCCGTACCATGCTGTTTTGATTTCTGTAGTTTTGTAGTGTATTTTTGCATTATTATGATGCCTCTAGATTTGTTCTTTTTGCTCAAGAAGGCTTTGGCTATTTAGGGATTCTGTTTCCTGTTTCTGTGAAGAATGTCAATGGGGTTTTGATGGGGAGAAGAGTGCATTATGTGTGCCTGGGTGTCGCTCCCCCTCTTCATGGAGGAACGAGACTGAACCCTGCCTAGGCTTCATATCCGAGTCACGGCACCATTATGTCGCTCCCCCTCTTCGTGGAGGAACGACACAGGACCCTGCGCTGTTCTTCTGTCTGCTCGGCCCTCCCCGGGTTTGCTGCTGGTTCTTCCCGGGTTGGCTACCGACCCTCCACCTCCGTGGAGGGGCGGTTCCCCCTGCCACATTCCCCACTTCCGCGGGGGAGCGGCACACCGCCGGCCGGCTCTCTCGGGGGCTGCACAGGTGTTCCCCTTAGATGTTCCTGGTGCATGCCGTCTCTCTCCTCCTTTATAGTCCTCTTCCACCAATCCCAACTCTGCTACCCACACGCCGAGTACGCTGCTCTCCTCCAATCAGGAGCAGGTCCTGCTGTTTATTGGTTGAACTGGAGGCAGCTGTGTAGAAGCTGTTTCCCTTCTCAGCACCATATTGTGGGAAAGCAGATGCATAGAATAAGTCTTAATTCCAGTAACTTAGTCTAGTCCGAGTTGCTCCCAGTTGCTCCCCACACCTGGGGCCTGCCTGCAGCAAGTCTGACAGCTTGTGCTGTGAGTCCAAAAGGGGCAGCCAGGGAATGGTCCACCCTTGTCAGACCCCAGCACTGGCTGCAAACAACCTCTGTTTCAGAAATCACCACCAGAGTATGTGCTGTGATGAGTGCACTTCTCTCAGTAACTGGGTGTTTGCCTATGCTTGGAGCACCTGCTGGTACGTACTTCACATGCTTGTAATGTAAGTGAATAAATTATGTTTTTGTTTTTGGTGGACGTTTGACCTCTTCAAGGTAAATGTGCATAAAAAGCACATTTCCCGGGGTCGGTCTTTGGCCTAGCAGTTAAGTTGCTGGTTAGGTTGCCCATATCCTGCATCAGAGTACCTGGATTCTGTTCCCTACTCTGTCCATTGCAGACCTTGGGAGGCAGAGGTAATGGCTAAAGTAATTGGGTTCCTAGCACTCACGTGGGAGACCCAGATCGGGTTCTATTCTTGAAGTTTGAGCCCTTGACCACTGCAGATATTTGGGGAATGAACCATCAGATAGGAATCAATCTCTCTCTCTTTCCCCCTTCTCTCCCTCCCTCCCTCCCTCCCTCTCTCTCTTTTCTCTGTCTCTATAGTAACTAAAGAAGTTAATTCAAATGTGTAGATTTATTTGTTTAGTTTTTTTTTAAATAGGCAACACATTCATGTGGGTTTAAGATCAAAATATACAAAGGAATAATATTGGAAAGCCTCCTTTTTTCTTTCTAACCAGTGCCTGTGCCCACCTCCTCATGCAGGTACAAGCAAATGCAAACACGTACTCAAGTTTTTATTGCACCCTTGTTACTCAAAGGAGCACTTATGAACAGTTACGTCCTTCTGACACTCTTTCCCCTCAACATAACTGGAAGATCTATTAAGTAGAGAGCTTCCCCCCTTTTTTAACACTTGAAATATTCATTTCGTTGTTTGGGCATATTATAAGTTATTCAACAAGGACTTCAGTGTAGGACACTTGGGTTTGTCTAAGCATTCACTTCTGTGTACAGTGCTGCTGTTAGTACCCTTGTATGTGTGTCATTTCATACACATGTGTGAGTGCTCCATACTTCTCTTTGATGAATTCCCAAGGTGAAATGGCTCTATCAAGAGGTATATGCTTATGTAATTCTGATATATGGTCAAGTTGCCCACTGTAGGGCTTATGCTATCAAATGTTATTAATTAATTAATTAAATACTTGTGGGTACCTGTGTATGGCACGGTGGGTTAAGCTACTGCTTGTCATGCTTACATTCCACATGGGCTCCAGTTGAGTCCTAGCTGCTCTGTTTCTATCCAGCTCCCTGTTAATGTACCTGGGAAAGCAATGCATGGTGTGGTCCAAGTGCTTGGGCCCCTGCCACCCATACAGGAGTCCAGGGTGGAGTTCCTGATTCCTGGCTTTGGCCTGGCCCAGACCTGGCTGTTATGACTCTTTGGGAGAATGAACCAGCAGATAGAAGATCTCTCTCTCTCTCTCTCTTTCTCTCTCTCTCTTTCTCTTTCACGGCCTTTCAGTTAAATACATAAATACATCTTTTTTAAAAAAGAGATTTATTTACTTATTTGAAAGTCAAACAAAGAGAGGAGAGGCAGAGGGAGAGAGACAGAGTCTTCCAAACACTGGTTCACTCTCCAATTGGTCACAATGGCCGGAGCTGTGCCAGACTGAAGCCAGGAGCCAGGAGCTTTTTCTGGGTCTCCCATGTGGGTGCAGGGGCCCAAAGACTTGGGCCATCTTCTACTGCTTTCCCAGGCCATAGAAGAGAGCTGGATTTGGGAAACGAACCAGTGCCCATATGGGATGCTGGCACTGCAGGTGGAGGCTTTCTTTACCCACTACACCACAGTGCCAGCCCCACAAAAATACATCTTTTAAAAAAATATATGATGGAAGGGAAGACACCATTTGTAACAGCAAAACAAAAATTAATATTGGTACTTGAAATATATTTTAAATAGAATATTTGCCCTGTCTTTGTTGTTGAGTTAGAGGAGTTATTTTGTAGGTTATCTGAATTCTGATAATAGTAATAAGGTTTTTTCTAGACCATTGGTTCCCATTAATAGCCAAAGATCCTCAAGATGTTCTCATAAACTGAACATCCGCTATATAGAAAACAAAACTATCTCACACATGTGCAAAATGTATTTCAAATGTATAGAGATCCTGCTATATTTAGTACCATACCAGTTCTTTGGTAGTGTTACTGAATTCTTCCTTCAGTTACTGACAACTCAACATGTTACTGACGGTCTGTTGTTTTAGATGACCCTTAGATTTTCATGGCGGGGTAACTTCATTTTGTCTTCTATTAGTTTTGTCAAAGCAGCATAATCTGCAGATTTAGAAAAACAAAGCCAAAAGATTATGTATAGCCTATGAATGTCTATTAAAATATCTTATAGTAACCATAGTCTTTCTCTTTTAGATGTCCCTTTAAGGACCAGCCTGCCACCACCATTCAGAAATTATAAATATGGTAACCAGTCTTTTGTTTTCTTTTGAAATGTATATTAATATAATTTTGCATTAATTTTTTGTTGCTATGAATTCTAATTTGGTTTTTAAAAATGAACTGACTAGCTACTCCTAAAAACCAACTTGGAACTTTATGTAGGAATGTAGACATTATCTGTTGTCAAAGAAAACTTTAATAGCGGCCGGCACTGCGGCTCACTAGGCTAATCCTCCGCCTCCCGCGCCAGCACACCGGGTTCTAGTCCCAGTCGGGGCGCCAGATTCTGTCCCGGTTGCCCTTCTTCCAGGCCAGCTCTCTCCTGTGGCCAGGGAGTGCAGTGGAGGATGGCCCAAGTCCTTGGGCCCTGCACCCCATGGGAGACAGGACAAGCTCCTGGCTCCTGCCATCGGATCAGCGCCGTGCGCCGGCCGCAGCACTGGCCGCGGTGGCCATTGGAGGGTGAACCAACGGCAAAGGAAGACCTTTCTCTCTGTCTCTCTCTCTCACTGTCCACTCTGCCTGTCAAAAAAAAAAAAAAAGAAAAAAGAAAAAAAAAGAAAACTTTAATAGCAACATATTGGTGAGAAGTGGTATGTTTGGCAAAACTGTCTAAAATGGGTTTCTTTGCTAGGTAATCAGAGAAAGAAAAGTGGTTAAAGATGAAGACTTAAAAGAATAGGCTTAATAATTGAAATGCCAATGACTTGAGCATGTTCAATAGCAGTTTTGCATGTTGTGACTGGTGATTTAAAAATGCAATAATAAGACCAGAAGCTAGGTGTAATTTCCTGGGATAAAGACAGTACGGTTACTAACCCTCAGAGCAGTGACACTCACCAGACATCACTTAAAGTGACAATGCACCTAATAAATATTTCTGTTAATCAGTGAAGTTAATTTAAAGCATAAGATTTTTTTTTCATATTGGATCACTTTTTGGAGTGGCTATTCTTTCTGTTTTCATTTGATAAAGAGCATCTTATGACTTAAAACCCTTTGAAGACACAATCTTTTAAAAAAGATTTTATTTATTTTATTTATTTTATTTAGTTACTGACAATGAGAGAGAGGTAGAGAAAGGTCTTCTTTCCATTGGTTTACTCCCCAAATGGCTGCCAGGGTTGGAGCTACACTGATCCGAAGCCAGGAGCCATGTGCTTTTTCCTGGTCTCCCATGCGGGTGCAGGGCCCAAGCACTTGGGCCATCCTCCACTGCCTTCCCAGGCCACAGCAGAGAGCTGGACTGGAAGAGGAGCAACCAAGACTAGAACTGGTGCCCATATGGGATGCCGGCACTGCAGGCAGAGGATTAACGTAGTGCACCACGGCACTGGCCCCAAGTATATGCATTTTAATAACCAGAGACTAAGGGTTGTCATTGTGGCATAGCAGGTTAAGCCTCTACTTAAGATGCTGGCATTCCATATGAGTGCTGGTTTGAATCCCTGCTGCTCCACTTTCCATCTAGCTCCCTGCTAATGGCCTGGGAAAGCAGTGGAAGATGGCCCAAGTGCTTGGGCCTCCTCCCAGATGAAGCTCCTGGCTCCTGGCTTTGGCCCAGCCCAGCCCTGCCCCAACATTGCGGCCATTTGCTGAGTGAACTAGTGGTTGGAAGATCCATCGCTATCTGTCTCCTTCTCTCTCTCTGTAACTTTGCCTTTCAAATGAAATAAGTAAATCTTAAAAAAATGACCAGAGACTAATTGTGAGGTCATGAGAGGTAGGCAAGCAGAAGTTGAAGGCGCTGAGTGTAAAGTACTTTGATTTACTGGACTTAAAGAATTTACATACACAATACTGAGTAAGAGAAAGGACTAAGCAATGCATGGTTAAGGCAAATACGAAACTTCTCAGTTGTGGTTATGATGACTTTTAGAGTAGAATGCCCTGAAATACAGCTTTAAACCTGAATCAAACTACACATTCCATTCCATTTCAGATTAGAGTAGTTCCATGTGGTTTCCCTTTTTTTTTTTTTTTTTAAGGTTTTTATTTATTTACTTGAGAGGTGGAGCTACAGACAGAGAGAGGGAGAGACAGGGAAAAAGGTCTTCCATCTGCTGATTCACTTCCCAAATGACAGCAATGGCTGGAACTGAGCAGATCCGAAGCCAGGACCCAGGAGCTTCCTCCGGATCTCCCATGCAGGTGCAGGGGCCCAAGCACTTGGGCCATCCTCCACTGCCCTCCTGGACTCTACTCAGAGAACTAGATGGGAAGAGGAACAGCCGGGACACGAACTGGTGCCCCTATGGGATGCTGGCACCACAGGCAGAGGGTTAGCCAGTGCACCCTGGCACCACCCCCATGGTTTCCCTTTGGCAAGGTGTGTGCGTGTGTGTGTCTGTAAGCCACTTCGTGTTCCATGTGTTTTTGAAAGATGAACTTTAAGGCCGGCGCTGTGGCTCACTTGGCTAATCCTCCACCTGCAGCGCCGGCACCCTGGGTTCTAGTCCCAGTTGGGGCACTGGATTCTGTCCCGGTTGCCCCTCTTCCAGTCCAGCTCTCTGCTGTGGCCTGGGAAGGCAGTGGAGGATGGCCCAAGTGCTTGGGCCCTGCACCCACATGGGAGACCAGGAGGAAGCACGTGGCTCCTGGCTTTGGATCGGCGCAGCGCACCGGCTGTAGCGGCCATTTGGGGGGTGAACCAAAGGAAAAAGGAAGACCTTTCTCTCTCTCTCTCTCTCTCTCTCTCTCTCTCTCACTGTCTAACTCTGCCTGTCAAAAATAAAAAAAAAAAAAAGATGAACTTTAGCTAATGAAGGCACAGAGAGTGTCTGTGTTGTGAAGCATCATCATGGTAGAGAGTATACCTTTTATTGTTTATTTGCTTTCTTAAAAATTTATTTTATTTATTTAAAAGGCAGAGTTACAGAGAGAGGAAAAGAGAAAGATCTCTTTCATCTACTGGTTCATTCCCCCAATGGCCACAAGGCTGCGCCAAGCTGAAACCAGGAGCCAGGAGCCTCTTCTGGGTCTCCCACGTGGGTGCAGGGGCCCAGGGACCTGGGCCATCTGCTGCTGCTTTCCCAGGTGTATTAGCAGGGAGCTGGCTGGGAAGTGGGGCAGCTGGCACCCATGTGGGATGCTGGTGCTGCAGGCGGCAGGTTTACCAGTTACACCACAATGCCGCCCCTGATAATGTACCTTTTAGATGATTCCATCTTAGTAACATCCTTCTGTCCTAGTGTTTCTGTGCTATTCAGATGAATTGGCAGAAAAAGTGAGTACATTTGTCTATGAAGATGTTATCCAGCCACTGGACTTCAAGTAGCTCTTTGTCTGAGTTTGGCTCTTGGCCTCATTGCTGTTTTGTGTTCAGTGAGAAAAGCCAAAGTGTTGCCTTTTTCACCTGTCCTTATCACCCAGTATTGCTCCATAGTCAGGGTGTCAGGGTCAAATTTCCGTTTCCATAGTTACTGCCCTGGGGCCAGGGCTTGGTTCTCTTGGCCACCCAGAGCCTGGGAGTTCTCAGAGCCCCTTCCTCCGGTATAATTGGGATCCATATCTATTACTGATTTGCCACGTGTGCTACTTTTCTTTAAATCCTTATTGCAAATGCACAAAGATGCTGATGGCTGTACAGTGTGGGGCTGCTAATCCCTGGGTGTTTCCTAAAGCTTGTGGAATCAGATTAAATAATGCATGTGCCAGCTCATTAAACGTTGCCAAATATATTGTTTTTATTTTTATCAGGTTGCTTCCCGTGGGGAATTTGCATGAAGGAAACAATGTCCACTGATGTCTTTGTTAATAACCAGGATTTTCTTTTTTGAAGAAGTAAAACCAAGTGGGGAGACAGGGACATTAAAGCGTCTTTTGCTGGGCTTGTCATTTCTCCTCTCTTCCCTCTTCTCAGGTCTCACCAATTACAGTCAAGGAATAAAAAACCCAGTGGAAATTTTTATTCAAGCCATTTTTTTTTTTTGCTAAAAATGTAACCTTGTTATTTGTGGATTCACCAAACCTGTTAAAGCAAAGCTATTTCTAATTTAAAGGCTTATTATCAAAACATATAGAACATGATTAATATTTAATAAGGTCACACTGCAGTTTTGCAGGTGGATTATAACAGACTAGCCTCCTTTTATTAGAAAAATGGACTGTTGGCTTCTCTAAGTTGTCTCAGACAATAAGCTGATGCCTATTTTTTTAGTGAGGGTAAGAGTACAATAGATAATTCCATATAACAGATAACCCAAGAGTCACATTTGTTTTCTTATGTACACTGTAAGTTTATTTTGAGCAGTTGTATCATATTTGCAGTCCAGTTTGTGTATTTTGCTTAGGTTTGTTTTATTTTTTAAGAATTAATGGTTATAGTGTTACAGTTGTGTTGACCTTTTATTAAAAATTGAAATAGATTTTTGAAAGCTGACAATTTAAAAGGATGGATAATTCAGAATATTAGTTTTTTTAAGATTGATTTATTTATATTTGAAAGGCAGAATTACAGAGTGGCAGAGGCAGAGAGAGAGAGAGAAAGAGAGAGAAAAAAATAGAGAGAGAAAAGTCTTCCATCCACTGGTTTATACCCCAAAAATGTTGCAACAGCTGGAACTGTGCCTATCCGAGGACAGGAGCCAGGAGTTTCTTCCAGGTCTCCCATGCGGGTGCAGGGGCCCAAGGACTTGGGCCATCTTCTCTTTTCCCAGACCACAACAGAGAGCTGGATCAGAAGTGGAGCAGCCGGAACATGAACCAATGCCCTTATGGGATGCTGACGCTTCAGGCGGCAGCTTTACCTGCTATGCCACAGCACTGGCTGTTTGAATACTGGTTCTTAACTGGACTGGTACCCCATTTATATTGTGAAAACATGCAGTATAGATCTGTTACTGCCTTTTATTTTTTTGCTTTTAGGAATTGTAATTTTAAAATTTTTAATGGGTAAACATGTAACACTTGTATATTTTTAGGGGATCTAATTCAACTTTTCCTTATCTTTTCTTTGTGTTTGGGGTATACCAGCTCCTTGCTTCCAATTCTTTATGCAGAATGTTATTTTATGTCCTCATGAGGCATGAAGTCTCCCTACTGTGCAGTAAAAAAAAAAAAAAAAAAGAAAGAAAAGAACCTGTAAGGTCTGTTTTCATAACATATTAATGTTGGAATTCGTTATTATAGTGTGATTGCTGGAAATGAATTTTAGCTTACGGTTGAGCATTTATTCAGATATAATACACTGTAATCATAACACACTAATTGAATGGTTCAATAAAATCTAATTAAGGACTGGAACCTTGCTGAATTTAAACCTGTTGAATGGCTTCATCTCTTATGTAATTAAGGGCTGGTTATTGCAGAATTAGAATTTTACAAAACTGCAGCGAAATTACCTGTTGTAGAAGCACAGTGTACCTGACTCCAAGATAAACAGATTAAGGAGTGGAGTTGGTTTGAGTAAAGGAGATTAGTGGCCGTGAGCCTGTGCAGTATTTGAAAACCAGGAGGCAGATATGTTAGTATTCTCGAGGCTTTAGCTGCCTTGCTAGGATTACCAGTGATCCAAGATGATGTTTGGATTTGAGAGAGGTAACACCTTTTTCATCATGCTCATTTGCCCTTCTGTCACCATATCTATTCTGAGAGATTAGCTTAGATGTTTTTAAACTATTTTTGCTAGCATCTGCCTTAATTTAAGAATTTTTTTTACATTATTTATTCTTCCTCTAGTGAAGAGAGAGGGCTGTGATTTGCTTGTCTTCTAGGCTAAGGGGAGGTTTGCTGTGTTGACTTCGGGTTGAGGTACAGACAGTTGTACCAAGAACTCAAGGCTTTAACCATCTTTGTCCTTTCACCTTCAGTTTTAGCAATTTGCAGAAGTGATTTTTCTTTTACTGCATACCAGATTTTTAAGTCACTCTGGTCCTAAGGCAGAGACTTAAATTTCTCAATTTCACAGCCACCCTCCTACTCACTTTAATAATTGGAAATGAAATTTTAAGAATTAGCTGTGTAAAGACACTCTGCCTTTTTCTTCCAGATAAACTAAAGATTATTCATCAAGCACATAAGTCAAAGGTAAGTTCCCGATGTCCATTGTTGATCGAACTGGTGAATTAGTGAATGAACATATGTATGTCTAAAATAGTTTCCACTATGATAGTGTTTTCTATTTTGTATGCATCCTTTTACTGCCTTATTTTAAAAAAAAAGAATTATTTTATTTATTTTGAAAGATAGAGGAGTTACAGAAAGAAGTGGAGCGAGAGTGAGAGCGAGAGTGAGAGTGAGAGCGAGAGCGAGAGAGAGAGAGAGAGAGAGGTCTTCCATTCTGCTGGTTCATTCCCCAAATGACCAAAATGGCCAGAGCTGAGCTGATCTGAAGCCAGAAGCCAGGAGCTTCTTCCAGGTCTCCCATGCAGGTATAGGGGCCCAAGGAATTGGGCCATCTTCTACTGCTCTCCCAGGCCATAGCAGAGAGCTGGATCAGAAGAGGAGCATCCGGGACTTGAACTGGCACCCACATGGGATGCCGGTGCTGCAGGCTGGGGCTTTAACCTGCTGTGCCACAGTGCCAGCCCCATACTGCCTTACTTTAAGCTAAGTCATATCCCTGCTTTTAAAAAGTCTTAATTTATTTTTTAAGGATTTATTTTATTTACCTGAAAAACAGACTTACAGAGAGAGAGAGAGAGCTAGTCAGAGAAAGAGATCTTTCATCTTCTGTTGCACTCCCTAAATGGCCCTGACTGCCAGGGCTAGGCCAGGCCAAAGCCAGGAGCTGGAAACTCCATCCGCGTCTCCCAAATGCGTGGCAGGGGCCAAGTACTTGGGCCATCCTCCACTCCTTTCCCAGGTGCATTAGCGGGGAGCTGGATTGTAAGTGGAGTAGCTGGGACTTGAACTCATATGGGATGCTGGTGTTGCAGGTAGTGGCTTAACCCACTGTGCCATAACAGCAGCCCCTAAAAAGTGTTAATTTTAAAAAAGAAAAGCATACCATATATTGTTTATCAAGCAAATATTTACCATAAAATAAGTGTACAACTTAGTAAATTCAGATTCCATATAAAGGAAACCACTTATTAATGGCAGCTGAGTCTCTTTGTCTTAATTCTGCAGTAATGGAAAAACCAACAGCAGGTACTGATGGTCTGTGAGTTTTGAACGGACTCTGCGTGTGGAAGGGAAGGCCAGGGTGGTGGCTCTGGAGAGCAAACCTCCCAGTTCCACAGAGGGCACAGCCTGTCATCCTCAGTGCCGTCTCCAAACAGAGCTGTTTATTTTCATGTGTACCCTGTGTTCGCCATTCTGTTTATTGCTTTGTTGGAGAAATGTTTCTATGAAGCCACACTCAAAGGTGTGCTTCTTGTCAGGAAGGCTGATCGTTTCTTGTGGCTCTCAGTGGCCTTGGCTCATATAGCTGTAGCCTCAGTGAGGCAGCCTGCTCTGTCATATAAACCACTCAAGGACAGCATGTGCTTCCTCCTGTCCCGGATGCCATCACAGTGCCCGGCTCAGAGGCGTCTTTCCATAGCACGCTTTGAATGAAGTATTCACATATGAATTCTTTTTGTTTCATTCTGGTCTCGAGTCCTAGGTGCCCTCTACAAGCTTGATCAGCTTTCAAATGCCTGTATGCCACAGATTACAAAGAAGAGCCCGTGAGAGGCTGGCTGTGGCTTGTGGATTAGTGACTTCGCGTCTTTTGGTAGATGCAACCTTGACAAATGCTCACACATGTCTGGGGCTGTGTTGTGGAGTCTGTCCTTTCTGTGGGTACAAGAATGTGCCACTCCTGTGTGTTGTCACAGAGTTCATCCGTCTTTCTCTTCTTTGAGCAATGAATGTTTTTACTGTAGTTCCTGAACTGTAGAGAATAGGAACTGTGATATTTTACAGTGTACTATATATATAAATATATATACAGTATACTAAATATATAATGAAGTTAAAATAAGACAGTAAGCTCTTTGAAAAGCTTCTAAAACAAAGTGTGTTGTGTTATTGGCCTTTCAACATTGCATTCTTTTTTATAATCTCCCTTCCTTGTTCTCTTCTTTCCTACCTTGCAGAGAGAGAAGGAAAGATCTCCCATCTGCTGGTTCACTCCCCAAGTGCCTGCAACAGCCAAGGCTAGATCAGGTCAAAGTCAAGAACCTGGAACTCCATCCTGGTTCCCGCTGTGGACGATGGGGACCCAAGTCCTTGGTCATCTGCTGCTGCCTTCCTGGGTGCATTAGCAAGAAGCTGGATGGGAAGCAGGGTAGCCAGGACTTGAACCAGGCACTCTGATATGGGATGTGGACATCCCAAGCGGCAGCTTAACCTGTTGCATCTCATAGCCCACCCGGAACTTTTTAAAGTGCCTTCATATATATGTAGACCAAAGAAGTAGATTATAAAATTAAGATGTGGGGATGGTGTTGTGGTGCAGTGGGTTAAACCATCTCTTATGATGCCAGCATCTTATATGAGCACCAACTCAAGTCCTGCTGCTTTACTTCCTATCCAACTCCCTGATAATGTGTCTGGGAAGGCAGTGGAAGATGGCCCAAGTGCTTGGGCCCCTGCTCACTCACATGGGAGACCCAGATGGAGTCCAGGCTCCTGGCTTCGGCCTGGTCCAGTCCTGGCCCTTGTGACCATTTGGGAATGAACCAGTAGTTGGAAGATCTCTCTGTCTCTTCCTCTCTAGCTATAACTCTGCCTTTCAAATAAATTAAGTTTTAAAAAATAAATTTAAGGTGTAAAAATAACCAAAAATAGGAGAATTCTTTGAAGAAAAATGAGGGTGATTAGCCTTAATATGGGTCTCACTGCATCATCAAATTACAGTAGTTAAACAGAGTGACAGTGTCGCCTGGACTGGTGGTTCAGTGGCACAGAGTGAAAAGTCCAGAGAAAGACTCGTGGCTGTAACGGTCCAGGCATCTGGTGTGTAGAAAATAGAGAATTTCAAGTCTCTAGAGAAAAGGTGAAAATTCAACAAATGGCGTTGAAACGGCGTTGAAACAACTGGGTGACTTCTAGAGAATGGTTAAGATGGATCCATGCCTTTTTAATTATGCCGTAATAAATCCCCATGGCATTAATGGCTTAAATGTAAAAATCAAACCCAGAGGTGAAGATAGAGATGAAACAAATTTGGGCAAGTGAAGAAAACACAGAATTACTAAACAATCTAGAGTGGAGAATATCTTTCTAAGTGTGATAGCAAACTAAGAAACCTCCAAATATTGATGTGTTTTTGCCTAATTTATTAACCTATTTACTCAACAGAAATTCACTTAGCATCATCTATTTAAAAGCAAAAAACAAAACCGCCCTAAGAGAAATCAAGGAACAAATGAAAAATGGGGATATTTCTCGGACTTACAGAACAGGCTTAATTTCTTTAGTACGTAAATATAATCTGTAACTCCAGTAGATACCATTATCCTACAACTCCATTGAAAGCCAGAAAACCTTCACAGCTGCAGTCATAAGAAAATACATGCACGTCAACACAACCCGTACTCTGCCTCGGCCACACTGGCAGACATCAGAAGGCTTTGGTAGCTCGCGCCTCTGGCACAGTTATGGGAAGCAGGCACAGGCATTCCAGTGACCCACAGCATGGTAATGAATTGGTGCTGCTTCGCTGGAGAGTGATTTGGCAACATCCGCCAAAGTTAGAAGTTGCATACTACTTGTAGAATTCTGCTTGTAGAAATTCACCTACGGTTATAGCCAGTACATGTGCAATGTGTTGTTCACTGCAGCATTATTTACGGTGGCCAGAGCCTGGAAGCAACCTAAGTGTCCATCAGGAAGGGCTGAGTGCGTGCGTGTCCCCTCCGTGAAATGCGCTCCAGCCTCGATAAACCATGGGACAGCTCTTATTGATGTACAGTGATTTTCAGCTATAATTATTTTTAAAGATTTATTTATTTGAAAGGTGTAGTTACAGAGAGGCAGAGGCACAGAGAGAGAGGGAGAGACAGAAAGAGAAGTCTTCCATCCACTGGTTCACTCCCCAATTGGCTACAATGGCTGAAGCTGGGCCAATCCAAAGCTGGAATCAGGAGCTTCTTCCTGGGTCTCCTACGTGGGTGCAGGGGCCCAAGGACCTGGGACATCTTCCATTGCTTTCCTAGGCCATAGCAGAGAGCTGGATGGGAAGTGGAGCAGCCAGGACTGGAATGGGTGCCCATATGGGATGCCGGCACTGCAGGTGGTAGCTTTACCCACTACACCACAGTGCCGGCCCCCAGCTGTAGTTTTAAGAGAGCAAAGTAAGATAAGGACAGAGCATATGACCTGCTACTATTTGTGTGAAAAATTTGCAATCACATCCCTGCCTGTGTTACACATACACAGTCTCCGGGAGGCTGCACAGGAATGGGGTTTTCCCCTTCTAGCCATACCTGGGAACTATAGAAAGTCTGCAAACAGTGGAATTAAAAATAGGTGTGTTGGGGCCAGCGCTGTGGTGGAGCGGGTAGAGCTGTCGCCTGCAGTGCCGGCATCCCATATGAGCGCTGATTTTGAGTCCCAGTTGCTCCACTTCCCATCCAGCTCTCTGTTATGGCCTGGGAAAGCAGTAGAAGATGACACAAGTCTTTGGGCCCCTGCACCCATGTGGGAGACCTAAAGGAAGCTCCTGGCTTCAGATCGGCACAGCTCCAGCTGTTGCCGTCATCTGGGGAGTGAACCAGCTAATGGAAGACCTCTCTCTCTCTCTGTGTGTAACTCTGACTTTCAAATAAATAAATAAATAAATCTTTTTCAAAAAGGTGTGTTTCGGCCGGCGCCGCGGCTCACTAGGCTAATCTTCCACCTAGCGGCGCCGGCACACCGGGTTCTAGTCCCGGTCAGGGCACCGGATTCTGTCCTGGTTGCCCCTCTTCCAGGCCAGCTCTCTGCTATGGCTCGGGAGTGCAGTGGAGGATGGCCCAAGTATTTGGGCCCTGTACCCCATGGGAGTGCCAGGATAAGTACCTGGCTCCTGCCATCAGATCAGCGTGGTACGCCGGCCGCAGCACACCGGCTGTGGCGGCCATTGGAGGGTGAACCAACGGCAAAAGGAAGACCTTTCTCTCTCTCTCTCTCTCTCACTGTCCACTCTGCCTGTCAAAAAAAAAGAAAAAAAAAAAAAAGAAAAAAAAAAAAAGAAAAAGGTGTGTTTCAGTGAAAAAAAATCCACACTTAATGTTTTCGTAATAGACATTTTCCTTTTTGTAGGACTTTTTGAAATCCCCTTGTATGCACAATTTTAAAAAGGCTTTCCACCAAAACAGACCCATCTTTCAATTTCATTTCTTCATGAACTTGTTGGAGTGCCCTCCTGTGTGCTTAGAGAATTATGTATCATGGTTCACTATGATTTTTAATAAAGAGTTTTTTTGTTCCATCTGTGTGCCATGGTGCTCAGGCCCACGTGTTCCCTTGTGAATGAGTTCTGTGGGCCCTGGAGCATGGCTGCCAGCTTCCGGCACTTCTGTCTGGCTTCCAGGAGCCCTCTCTGTTGATTGTTTGAGCCATGTTCTAGAAATAGAATATGTCGCTAAACAGCTGCGTTCTGGTTGATAGGTGATACCGTGTGCCCTAATGGTGACCACTGTGTGCTATTACAGGGCAGAGAGCAGCTCCAAATGTTCTCCTGTACTTAGGATGTCTAATTGCATTTGTGGGTGTCACTGGAGAGAAAACTCAGCCACCCCCACACCCAGTCACATAGACAACTAGCCAGGTAGTATGACAGCGGACCAAGTGCTTATTAGCTTGGGTACAATTTTAGATATGTGGACATTTGACCCTTTGAGGAAAACTTGGTTCTCTGAGAAGTCAAGCGGCAGAACTTGAACCTCAACTCCATTGCTGGGTAGCCACAGACCCTGGGCCTGTGCCTGGACCTCTCTGAGTCCTCCTGGATTATGGTGAGGATGATGGCTCAGTGACCACTAACCAGAGAGACCTGCTGTGTGACCGACACTGCATCTCATGTCATCATCACCATGCTTTTCTAGAAATGAGGAAAGTAGGTGCACTGGGGTGCTGTGGCTTGTTGAGAACACACATCTGGGTCCTGAGGGAGCCTGAATTTGAGTCCAAGTCTACTCCCGAGCCCTCTCTCACTTGGGTGTCCACTTAGTAGGTGTGCACTGTGTGTCTGCTTCTTCATGAAAGTACAGTGTGACTTTGTTTATTGCCGCAACTCAAAGTAACAGCTCTATGCCTTTGCAGAGTCTTCCCAAATCTGAGAACACTTCAAAACATGCACAGAAAATGGAACTAATTTACTAGTTTATTTTGGTGCCAAAAAATAGGGAAATCCACACATAAGAGAGGGTCTCCAAAAGGTTTGCAGGAAATACCTGTTATAAAAACGCTACGCATGGACTTTGAAAACTTTTTGCACCCGGTTTATTTTTCATTCCATTTCCCAACACTCTTTATATATACTCTTGTTTGAAACCCACAGAAGTGTTGATAGACATGGCTCTTCTTGCTTTTCAGACAAATGACCTCGTGCTGAGCTTGGAAGACGATGACAGACTCCTGCTGGAGGAAGGCAGCACTCTGAGAGCAGCTGGCATCGGTGAGCCAGGGCCCTGCTGCGGGAGGGGCCAGCGCCCTCCCAGCCCATGCCGCGAGGCCTGGCTGCCGATACCCGGACAGCTCCCCGCCGTCAGCGCTGTCCGTGCACGGCACTTTTGACTGCCCCGTCACCTTTCAGAGGAGGAGGACAGTGATGCCGATTGTGATCACTTGACCCAGGGCAGTAGATACCTGTTTTGCACATGTGCAGAATGCAAATCATGCACTCTAGAAGGCTGGCTCAGAATTCCTCTGAGGGTCATTTTCAGTGATTGGCAGGTGATTAGTACTGTGTGCTTAGGCTCACCAGCGTCACTTGAGCCGATGGTTTGTGAGAAATGGATGCAGTAGAACCCACGTGGAATAATGAAACGAGATGTTGTTTGTAGAACACGCGGCGTGGTTCCTGACGGTGATCCAGGTCACTCAGGACCAACTGTGGCAGGGAATTTAAGCTCGGGGCCTGGTGTGTGCAGATGACAAATGCCTTTCAGCCCTGAACATATGTGTAGCTCTGCTTTAAAGAACTGCTGTGTGACATATCGTGTGACCATTAGATGTCACTGTTATTCTACTTACAGGCAGACATACCTAAAGCTGATCCAGCAGCAGAGGTGGGCATGAGCAGAGAGGTCTGAGCAGTTGGAGGCCCTGTGCCTGTGATACAGCTCTGGGGGCGGTGACCAGGATGGGGATTCACAAATCTCACACCCAACAAAAGTATTCCTGTGCACCAGTCAAGGAACCCTTTAAAAGTGTGGGCCACATTGGAGAGCCTTAATGTTTTCTGACAGATGTTCTGTTGAGTTCCTTAAAAAATTTTTTTTATTATTACTTACATATTTGAAAGTCAGAGTGATAGTACGGGTGGGATACACACACACACACACAGATGCTGCATCTACGGGTTCATTCCCCAAATGGACACAACAGCCAGATCTGGACCAGGCCAAAGCCAGGAAGCAAGAGTTCCATCTAGGGCTCCCAAGGGGTAGCAGGGACCCAAATGCTCGGGCCATTTTCCGCTGCTTTCCCAGGTGCATTAGCAGGGAGCTGGATTGGAAGCAGAGCAGCCAAGACTCAAACTGGCTCTCTGATATGGGATGCCGATATTGCAAGGCTGCGACTTAAGCTGCTGCACCACCACCAGCCCCCATTGAGTTCCTTATTCACACATGTCAGGAATTTGCCTTCAAATGACTCATGTGACTAACATGAATTATTGGCATGGATCTTCCCATTGAAATAGGATTTTAAATAACATGAGATCTTAAGACTTGTTTCCCGTGTATGAGTATACATTGATGCTAGACTTAGTGTTTTCCCATATTATGAATACCTAAGATTGTTGTTAGTGGAAAGCAGCTTTTAATTTGGCATTTGTGTCTTCAAATGCTGCTGTGTTACAGTGGATGGCACCTGTGCTATGGAGACAGATGGCACCTAGCAGCAGCCTGCTTGTTGTTGAAATACAAAGTTAGGATGACTGTAACAGACTGCTATTGATGTGGGAATTGACAGCTTCTTGGAAAAGACTGGAAAGTCCAGAAACAAACTAAGAAAAAAAGTAAGATTTCACAAGATGATAAAGTTAACTTTTAAAATAAGGAAAGAAAAGACTAGCGGGGCTGGTGTTGTGGTGCAATGAGTTAAGCTTCCTACAACCCTGGCATCCCATATCAGAGTAGACAGGTTCGAGTCCCGGATAGTCTGCTTCTATTCCAAAGCAAAAGCATCTGGAAAGCAGCAGCAGATGAGTGACCCAAATATTTGGGCCTCTGCCACCCATGGGGAGACCTGGATGGGGTTCCAGACTCTTTAAGCTCTGGGTTGGTCTGGCCCTGGCCATCGGGGCCATTTGGAGCATGAAACAGTAAATGGAAGAATCTCTCTCTGTCTCTCCCTCTCTCTGTAATTTCCTTCCTTCCTTCCTTCCTTCCTTCCTTCCTTCCTTCCTTCCTTCCTTCCTTCCTTCCTTTTTAATTTATTGAAAGTCAGAATTACACAGAGAGAGAAGGAGAGACAGAGAGAGAGAGAGAGAAAGGTCTTCCATCCGCTGGTTCATTCCCCAATTGGCCGCAATGGCCAGAGCTGTGCCGAGCCACACCAGGAGCCAGGAGCTTCTTCCATGTCTTCCACATGGGTGCAGGGGCCCAAGGACTTGGACCATCTTCCACTGCTGCTTTTCCAGGCCATAGCAGAGAGTGGGATCAGAAGTGGAGCAGCAGGGCCTCGAACCAGCACCCATATGGGATGCTGGCACTGCAGGCAACAGCTCTACCTGCTATGCCACAGCACTGGCCCAGTTCCACCTTGTTGTTGTTGTTGTTGGTTTTTTTTTTTTTTTTTTTAAGATTGATTTATTTATTTCAAAGGCAGAGTTACAGAGAGTCAGAGGCAGGGAGGGAGAGAGAGGCCTTCCATCCACTGGTTCACTCCCCAGATGGCCGTAATGGCCAGAGCTGGGCCAATCCGAAGCCACGAGCCAGGAGCTTCCTCTGAGAAGATGGCTTGGGCCATGCTTTCCCAGGCCATAGCAGAGAGCTGGATAAAAAGTGGAGCATCTGGGACTTGAACTGGCGCCCATATAGGATGCTGGCACTGCAGATGGCAGCTTTACCCGCTATGCCACAGTGCTGGCCCCTCCACCTTATAAGTAATAAATACACATTAAAATAGACATTATTTTATGTAATATAATCTGGGGTTATGCACATTAAAATAGACATTATTTTATGCATAGAATCTGGGGTTAAGAATTAGAGTTCGGAGCCAGAATGCTTAGGTTAAAGACCTGATTGCGCTTCTTACTGTCAAGGTGACCTTGAGCAAGCCCCAGTTATCATGAGCCTGGCAACAGGAGGAAGAGTGGTGACTGCCAAGGGAGTTCTTGGGGAACTGACTGGTGGTGAGCACTCTCTCACCTTCCCTGTTTGCGAGTTACTGGTGTAGAACTTCACTTAGTTACTTAATTTTTTTATATTACTTTAAATTTATTTTAGAAGCAGAGAGAAGCAGAGTGTGCTCCCATCTGCTGGTTGGCTCCCCAAATGTCCACAATGGTCAGGGCTAGGCCAGGGCCAAAGCTGGAGCCAGAAACACGGTCCATGTACTTGAGGCCGTTGGTGCTGCCCCAAGGTCTGCGCTGACAGGGAGCTGGAATCGGGTCAGAGCTGAGAATCAAACTTAGGCTCTGCAGTGAGGGATGCGGGCAGCTCAGCTGGTAGACAGAACACCCACTATAGAGCTTTATTTATGGAGTGATGATAGCATACATTGTGTGATACCATTATCGTTAAAAGGTGAGGGTTTACCTGTTTGCATGTGTCTGTGGAGAAACGGTCACCCATGGCAGTTACAGAAATGGCTTCTCAATGTGGTGGTGTTGCCAGTGACTGATTTTTTTCCTATCTTCTCTGTGTTATTTAATTGTTCTTATAATTTGAAGTGTTTTTCTCTACGGTTGCATGTATTTCTTATTGTAAAGGAATGATTTTTTTTTTTTTTTTTACAAAGAAAACAAACCCCTACCATTGGGGAAAACTGCTTGGATGAAGCCTGTGGTTGTTACTTTCTTTGTGACCTGTAAGCCTCCTCACCTCTCCAAACTTTGACTTTGTAAAAATGGGAATAATGATAACTATTCCAGGAGGTGATCCTAAGGGTTGAGTGAAAGAGTAGAGGCCTTTGCATGGGAAAGCAGCGGAAGATGGCCCAAGTCCTTGGGCCCCTGCACCTGTGTGGGAGACCGGAAAGAAGCTCCTGGCTCCTGGCCTTGGATTGTCCCAGCTCCAGCCATTACTGTCTTTTAGGGAGTGAACCAGCAAATGGAAGACTCTCCCTCTCTCCCTCTTTCCCTCTTTTCCTCTCTTCCTCTCTTCCTCTCTCCCTCTCTCCCTCTCTCCCTCTCTCCCTCTTTCACTGCCTCTGCCTCTGTCTAACTCTACTTTTCAAATAAATAAAAAGAAAAAAATGAGGGAAGGCCATTGGAACAATGCATGTAAAAGGCCCTCAAAGAATGTTCATTTTATTTAGAAATCATCAGAAGGCAAGTGGCAATTTATATATATTTTATTTTTTTAAATCAAAAAAAAATTTTTTTTTTAAATTTGCAAGGCAGAAAGAAGTCCTGTCTGCTAGTTTGCTCCTAAAATGCCTGTGGTAGCCAGGGCTGGGCCAGGCCAAAGCCAGGAGCCAAGACCTCTATCCAGGTCTCCCATGTTGGTGTTAGGGACCAGCTATTTAAGTCATCGCCTGCATGCGTTAGCAGGAAGCTGGAATTGGGCGTGGAGCTAGACTCACACCCAGGCTCTCTGATATGGTATGTGGACATCCCTAAGCGGTATCTTTACTGCTGTGCCAAATGCCTGCCCCTAGGCAAACGTTCTGAATTTTTTAAACCTTGACCTGTTGGTCTCCTTGTCATTCATTTCAGGCTGACTTAGATAACAGAAGGTCTATAGAGGGGAAAATCAAATCCCTCCTTTTGTCATCCTTGTTTGAAGGCCCCAGGACTTTGATCAGCATCAGAACACTTCAGGGCGGCACAAGCCCAGGTTGTTCCTTGGGAAGTAGATGAGAGCCACAGAACATTCTCGGCGGGCGTCCAGCGCAGAAGTGGCACTTGAAGTGTGTGGTTTTTCTAGGGAATGTGCTCTCGCCCAGCGTGGGGTCTGGGTAGGTTTTTTAGGAGATGTAAAGAGGGAAGGCCTTGCTCTCTCCCTTTTATCACTTGATCTTGCGGGTAGAGCTCTCTTACTCTGTTGTTAGGGCCAGTTGCCATGGGAATAACGCAACACATTCATCCTCATGACTTTCCCTCCGAAGGAGTGGTGAAAGAAGGGAAGGGATGTCGGGGCGAGAGGTGGAGCTGAGGGGAAGAAGCTGATTTGAAGATTTTTTTTTTCTTCTTTCTTTCTTTCTTTCTTTCTTTCTTTCTTTCTTTCTTTCTTTCTTTCTTTCTTTCTTTTTTTTTTTTTTTGACAGGCAGAGTGGACAGTG